CTCGGGGCGCTCCGAGACCGCTCGCGCGGCTGCGCCGCGGAGGAACCTGCGCCTGTCGGCGGCGGCCGCCGCCGAACCCTGCTGCCGCTCGACGCCGAAGTCGCCTCGCGCGGCGCTCGCTCGGGGGATCCGCTACTGCGGCTTTCTCCCCCCCGAGGGCTGCGCGGCGCTCGCTGGGGGGATCCGCCACTGCAATTGCCCCTCCTTGCAAAGCGCGCTTCCAGGCGGCTCCTCAGCACCGCCAGCTTCTGCTCGCGGGTCTCTTCCCACTTGGGCGTGCCGCCGCGAGAAGCGCGCCCCCCCGACGGATGCTCGGACACGGCTGCGGCAAATGAAGGGGAGGGCGACGAGTGCGAAGGCCAGGATTAGCAATTGCGAAGAGGACAGCGAGGAGGACGACGGAGGGAACGAGGAGAACGAGGGCGGCCTCAAGAACGCAAGCGTGGTAGGACTGGACTGGGAAGGAGGAGGAGGAGGGGGGCGACGAAGGAGAATCGAGGAGAGATAGAAGACGACAAAGTAGGGCGTGACATTGACGAAGGGGAATCCAGCAGAGATAAGCGACGACAAGAGTAAGACAAGATGGGCCGTGCAGCTTTTCTTCGTGGCTCTTCGCGCGAGAAGCCGCGCGCCGCAATTGCGTATCCGCCTGCCGCAGCTGCGGACAAGCTCAGATAATTGCTGACTGACTCAAAGGAAGTGAAGCGCGGACGAACCGCCTGCGGAGTTCACTCGCGCGGGCGCCGCAACCGCGGTCAGACGCATGCGGAGCGCCAGCGGGGGCGCCGCAACTGCGGACGACGACGCGCGAAGTGAGTGAAAGGATCGCGGTGTCACGAGATCGGTTACCGCAACTGCGGTTTCAAGCCCTCTCCCACCTCGGTTGTAGCCCAGCTCCTTTGGTTGCGTCGAACCGCCCCGGTATTGGCATGGCGTGCAATCTCTTGTAGTATGAGTACGTGCCACGTCCCGCGCTCTTGCCGAGGCCCGCCCCCGGGGGCTGCACGGGCCCCCAGTGAGGCTCAGCCTCATGCAGGCTGAATTTCGGACTGGACCATTCCGGGTGAACGCGAGTGCCTGAGCCGTCGTCGCGGATGAGGACGAAATCCCATACGGGCAAGCGGACTGCCTGCGCCTCTCCTCTGCCCACCCCTTTGGCGTGCCTGTTGTAGTCGCAACTGCCCGGGCATGGGCGAAACTCGCACCTGACCAATCCGCGACTGCGGTCGTTGTCAGGGCCGCGCGCGACGAGCTGCATTGTGACCGCATCCATCTGCACAACCAGCTGCAGCCAAGACCGCGAGACCAGTTCTGCGCGGCCCCGCGCCCAGCCCCTGTTGCCCTGCGCCCCCCCGCGCCTTTTGAACTTGATAATGCGCGAAATCTGCTCCGCAACTGCGGGGTCGAAAAAACAGGGAATCGGCTGTTGAAGGGGTCAGCTGGGTCTTCGTACTGTTCGCGGTCGTACTTCAAGGCCGCGTTGTGCTGCTTATAATTACCATGCCAGCGCGCCACGTAGTTTTGGAAGTGCTCCAACGTGTGCACCCCAGGGCGGCTTGCGTCCGCAACTGCGGCACCTCCTCGCCCTGGGACATGCGCCACTGCGATTTTCCCCGCGCCCTTTCGCGTCGTCTGCCGCTCGCCCCTGCGGGGGCGCCCTCTCCTTGGACACGCGCAACTGCGCCTTGCCATTGGTTATCGCGGCCGCCTCCCCGCTCGCCCCTGGGGCCGTCGTCCCAGCCGCTCCAGCGGCCGTCTTCCCATCCGCTCCAGCGGTCCTGCCCGCGTTCGCCTGCGCCCTCTCCTCCACCGCTGGCGCGGCCCTCCCACTGCCGCCATGAATTCCGCCGCCACCCTCCCCTTCGCCTTGCCAACCTCCGCCGCCGCACTCCCATCCGCGACTGCGGTCGCCTCTGCCGCCGTTTCCCCATCCTTCCCCTTGCCATGCGCCACTGCGCCAATCTCCGCCTCGCCATCCACCGCTGCGGCCACCCCCGCCGCCCCATCCGCCACTGCGGTCGCCCCGCCAACCACGAGCTCCCCCATCGCCGCCTTTGCCCCATGGAGACTCCGCAACTGCGGCCCTCCTCTTCTCTGCTTCCTCCAGGGCCGCCGTTTCGCACATATTTGCCATATCTGCGCAATCCTCTGCCCATCCTGCACAGGCGCGAGCCCGCGCCGCCGCCGACGTCGGCGCTGGCCTGAACCGAACGGCACTGCTTGAGCCGAACGGCACTGGAGGAGGAGGGCGGGGGGGGAATGCAGTGAAGAGGGTCGGGGAGGGGTCGAGAGCTCACCTTTCCAGGGCGCCCCCCCCCGCGGCCGCGCCCTCGCGGCGGCGGGGGGGGCCCAGGGCCCAAAGGGGGGCGGCCAGAACGCGCCCCGCCAGAACGCCCCCCCCCCCCCCCCCCCCCCCCCCCCGCGACCGCTTCCCGCGGCGGGGGGGGGCGCCCAAGAAGCCAGGGAGGGAGACAGAACGCGCCCCATGCAGGATGCCCCCCCGTGACCGCTACTCGCGGCGGGGGGGGGGGGGCGCCCTGGAGGGGCGTGCGTCGTCGTCGTCGCCGCCGCAGCGGCGACGACGGCGACGGCGGCGACGACGGCGACGACGGCGGCGACGGCGACGGCAAATACAAGCATATTTACAAATAGCAATATATATATATATATATATATATATATATATGTGTATACATACGTATATATATACATATATATATGTATATATATACATATATATATATATATATATATATATATGCAAACACCACTGAAGGCAGAGGGGAATCTTCGATTTTGAAATAACTCCTCTGGACCGCAGCTGCGGCTTTGTTGTCCCGCCGGGCCTCCAGAGGCCGAAACTGATGAGAAAAAACCTCGCCGATCCTTCCTCGAACCACTCCTCCTCCTCCTCCTTCTCCTCCTCTTCCCCCCCTGGGCACAGCGTGGCGCCGGACAGGGGCCATCGGCGCACCTTGCAACAGCCCTCTCCTCCTTCTCCTCCTCCTCCTCCTGTTCCTCCCTGCGCTCCTCTGGCCGCAAATCCGCATCTATCAACGCAGTCCCAAGGAACTGCTTTGAACGTATCCATTCTTCACAGCAGCCCCCCCGGGACTGCTTTCAATCGTCCTCAATCGCCCTCATTATAAAGGCTTTTGGATTGGGCAGCCCAGCCAACAATGTCCATGCGCTGCCCAAGAGGAAAGGAAAATCTGAAGGCGGGAGGAACTGGGGGCGACGGCGCCTCAAGGCGCTGCGTGGCGGAGCTAACCAACACCGCCGCCACCGCCGCTGACCCGACCCCGCCCCAGGGGCAGCGCGGGCGTCGCGGCGGCGCGTGGCACCGCCCTAGGCGCCAATCCGCTAAGCTGATTGCCCGCTGCCGAGCTCGAGTGTTTTCCTTGTTCCGCGAACCAATAGAACGCATTGTGGGCGACCGCCAGTCGCGAGACTTATCGAGCACGCCAGCGCGCGCGCAGACGTTGCGCAGATTCGCCGGCTCTGGGCGCCCATCAACAAACAGCCAAACTGGCTGCGACGAAACTTTGCCATCGCGCGCCGGCTGTCATGCACGCGGCCGGCACGTCCCCGCCTGTTTGCGAGGCGCCACTCCTGAAATGGACGCAGCGGAAATGCGCCCCCATGTCCCCGATGATGCGGGGGGAGTTATCGGGGAAGCATCATTTCTCTCATCGCAAACGCTCCACCGCAACCCGCACTGGAACCCCCCGAACCCGCTGCACTCTGACTGCGGCCTGTCAGCTTGCTGACAACCCGCGGCCCCGTCTGTCAGCTCAAGGACAAGCGGGAGGCAAGGCAGGTTGTTGAATCCGTGTCCGAGAGAGGAGAAGGAGGATGAGGACTCGTCCTCGCCCTCGTCCTCGTCGTCGTCCTCCGGGTAGTCAGCCGCGCGCGGCCCCCGGGCCGGGCGTAGTAGCGCAAGCAGAAACCGATTGAATCAAACATTGGGGCTGAGGGAGAGCAAGAGGAAGGACAAAGAAGGGGAATGGGGGACCGACCGAGGACCGATTCCCAGGGGGGCGTCTCGCGTCGCTATCTACACCCGCCATCCCTGGCCGTTTTAAACGGGCCCGCACCGACTAAACAACGCACGCGCACGCGCAAAGCGCGGCCCTGATGACCATGAAGACGGCGTGGCGACACCACGCCTTCATTGGGTGCGGCGCCGCGCCGGCCGCGCGCGAGCGGAGGCGAGCGGCGCCGCGGACCGCTGCCCAACCTGGGGGGCCGCCCGCGCACTTCCCTGCCGCCGCGCGCGGCCGGCTGCGGCGCGAGGGCGTGAGAGACGCCAGCCGACCGACTGCGACGATGGCGCGGAGGCCCGCCACCGCCATAGACAATGGCCAGGGGTAGCACGGGGGAGGAGAAGGCGGCGCCCACCGCCGCCCGCGCCATGCGCGGGCGATGCGGCACCTGCGCAGCGCCGCTGCGGCAGGCGCGCGCGCCCCCCCTGCGCCGCGCCTGGGCGGATCGCCTGCGCGGGCGCGGCGGGCGCGCGCGGCGCGGCGCGCGGCGCGACGCGCGCGCGCGCCTGCGGTGGGCGCCCCCGCCGCGCTTTGCGACCCTGAAACAATTGCGCGCAGCGCCGAAAATCGCGCCCCCGATGACCATGGAAGACGGCGCGGCGACGCCGCGCCCGTCATGGGGCGCGGCGCCGAGCCGGCCGCGCGCGAGCGGAGGCGGGCGGCGCCGCGGACCGTTGCCCCGCCCGGGGGGCCGTCCGCGCACCTGCCCAACGCCGCGCGCGGCCGACTGCGGCGCGAGGACGCGAGAGACCCCGCGCAAACCGAGCGCGCTCGCGACGCAGACGGGCGCGCGCGGGCGAGCGCAACCCCGCGCGACCGCTAGCCCGCGCGTCGAACGGATGCGCGATCGGACGCGCCAGCCACTTCCGCGCGCGAGAGCGGACGCTGGTCCGCGCCCCCTCGAGCAGTGGAGCCAGGGCGCCATGCGCCGCCAAGGCGGCGATGCACTCCAGCTCATCGGATGGCAAATAGCAAGATGGCCGACGACTTCCAGCCCCCGGCGCGCTTAATTTCGCGGACGGTGGAGCCACCAACCACAGGTCCCGCGCATGGCCGCGGCGCCTCGCGCGCGGCGCACGCGTTCGCGTTGACTACGCCAGCCTCGAAGAGGGAGTCGCGGAGACCTTCGGCGGCCGCCGCGCTCGCGACGCCAGCAAGCAGCGGGCGGCCCCGAGCGCCCGAGGCGAGGCGCGGCCCAGCGGCGTGCGCAGGGCACGAGATACGCGACGAGGCGCACCAGCAGCGGCGCCACCACGTCACGGGGCACCCTTCATTCTTGCGCCGCGCGAGCCAGAGGCCGAGAGCCGTCTCGGCCACGACGATCGACGCCGGGGCAGCGGCGTCAAAGGCGCCAGAACTGCTGACAGAAATGACGAGGGCCTCCGACGGGAGGCGGATCAGAAATATGCACGCCAGTGCGAACAGCAGCGCGAGGCGACGGCCCACTCTGCCTTCCGTGGCCAGGGCGAGCACGCGCTCGACGAAGTCCCGCCGCGCGAATGTCTTTGGGCGCGGGGCGAAAGAAGTGCGCTTCGCGACCGCGCGCCCGACGCGCTTCGCAACCGGCGCCTCGAGCACCTCGGCAGCGAAGCCGAATGCATACGAAACCGTGCGCAGGTGACGCGCGTAGTTAGCGAACGCGTGTTCGGACCTGGCCAGCCCCGAGAACGCGGCGAGCTCAGCCCTGGACACGAAGAATTCTTCGCCCTCCAGGCCCCTGGCCTTTGCGAATTTGAAATGCAAGCGATGAGCGCTGCGCGCGCCGCCGAGCGACCGAATATTGGAACCCAGCACCGCGCTCGCGCGCGCTTGCGCGCACCAGGACTGCGGGGCCACCCGCGCGGCAACGGCTGCCGGCGCGGCCCGGGTGACTTCTGGGGGCGCGAAGTCCTGTGCCGAGCGCGCGGCATCGTCAATCCTAGCGGCGATAGGTCGCGCGCCCCCGGCGCCCGCGGCCTCCTTCGGGGGCGCGCCTTCGCCCGCGCGCGCGCTGCGTGATTGAACGGAAGAGGAGCTGGGCGCAGAATCAATGCTGCTGTCAGCTCCGGAAGCCGAACCGCCCTCGACAGCCGCGGCGCGCGGGGCCGCGTCGCGCCCGCGGCTGCGCGAGCGGGCGAACGCGGCGGGGCGGCTCGCCGCCGTTATCCGCTGCGTCGCCACTCGCCGATGCCGAGGCGACAGTGCGTCGAGGCCCGTCACGTCTGAGTCTTCGACGTCGCGAAGGTCCTCCAGGCGCTGCGCGCCGGCCGCCAACAGCAACTCACACGCGCCAGTTAAGCGATGCGGCGCGGCGCCTGGTGCCGCCGACCGCGCGATTGCGAAGAACTGCGCCCTTTGCGACATCTGCGGCGCGACGCCGACTGGGCCGAACTGCAACAGGCGCGGTCGCGCGCGCGCGCCCTCGTTGCGACCGGGCGCGCGAACAACCACCTCGCGCGCGCGCCCCTACACGCGGGCCCCCCCTCGCGCGCTAGCAGGCGCTGGCCCGCGCGCCTTCGTGCCTCGGCCCGCGCTTGCGCAGATGGCGTCGACGCGGCGCGCGCAGAAAATGCTGCCCCGACGCGAGCTAGCGCTGGCGCGCGCCCGCAGCGGCTGTCGCGGCCCGCGACCCGCAAGGGGCTGGCATCGAAGAAGGACGGGTCGAGGGCCGCCCGCACTTCCCGCGCGCGCAGGGCTGCCACGAGCTGGAAACATTCCCTACTCGGCGAATCCGCCACGTCGGGCGCGCTCGGGACGCGGCGCGCGCGCAAATTCAAGCGCAAGAGAAAAGCCGCGGCCCAGATGCAATGGATCACGCCGTTGTAATCGAACGCGGAAGCCCCGCCCTTGCGAACGGCACCCTCGGCGCACGCATTGCCAGGATGTGCGCGCGCCCTGCGCCCCTCTAGCAGCGGCGCAAAGCTCGCGATGCCGAGGGCCAAGGACAGCATTTCCAGGCCGGAGATCTGGTGATCCTTGCGCGCTTGAAACGCGCGCGACGGATCGCGGCTGACTGCCGCGCGGCAGAAGAACGCGCTGCCGTCGATGAAAAGCACCGCGGCGATGCGCGGAGGCTTGCCCCGGGCGTCGCCGAAGAGAGCCGCCGACCGCGCCCCCGGCGGGCGACGCGCGCGCTTCTCGACGACGGCGCGCAAGAGAACGTGGCGCCACCACGCGCACGCGCTCCGCGCTTCGTCCGACAGTCGACGGCCGTGGACGCCCTTCTAGGAGAGGGCGATGAATGGTGTCACCATAGCGCGTCCCAATCTGCCAAACAAATTGCTGGGCGCCCATATGAGCGCGCCCGCGAGCTTGCTGGCTGCGCCGTGGGGCGGATGGCCCGCGCCGAGGGCCTCGCCGAGACGCGCGCGCCACTTCTCCCTCTTTTCGGGCAGAAGGACGCACGTCATGCCCGACGGATCTAACGAGACGCTGAGCCCGGCTGAGCCCCAGAACCAGGAGTGGACTGCCGCACTCCAATTTCGCCTCGGCGACTTCGCTCTCGCCGAGAAGGCTGCGCACGAGCCGCGCAAACGAGAGCATCGCGTGCCGCGCGCGCTCCTCGAGCTCGGGACTAAAATGATCGCCGACGTACGGGAGGAGGGTCGGGAGGTGCAGGGGCGGCGCGCCACGAAAGCGAGGAACTGGCCGACCCAGTCCCAACCGTGGACCGAGCCCTCGCCACCGAACGGGATGGCGCGGTGGCGCGCCGCGAACGCACCTTCGCGGCACAAGAAAACGACCCGCACCGCCCACTGGTCGCACGGTGCCAGTGGGATGCGCTGGTACACCGCATCGACGCCAGGTTTACCCAGGAGCGGGAGCAAGGACCGACAATTCGACTTCACCGCCACAAGATGCACCCACGAGCCTTCCAGACGCCCATACAAGCCCCCAACAGGCCCCCAAGAGGCCCCCAAACAGCGCCGCAAGGGCCCAGAACACGCCCGACGAGGCTTCACAACTGCTTCCACGAGGCCCCCGACACAAAACAGTGTTCGGAAAGTGGTGGGGAAAAGGGCCCCATGAAGCGGTCCTCGGGAAGAGGTCGGGATGACAACCGCAAAAACTCCCCTGAAGGCCCAGACCCACAACCCAGACACGGTGGCGGGGCAGCCCGGAAGTCATCCGATATTTCACGGCGTAGGAGGCTGCAACGTACCTTGTCCTCCTCCTCCTCCTCCTCCTCCTCCTCCTCCTCCTCCTCCTCCTCCTGTTTCTCCCTCTCCTCCGTCCTCCTCCTGCTCCTCCTTTTCCCCTTCGTCCTCCTCCTCGTTCTCCTCTTTCTCCTCCTCTTTCTCCTCCTCCTCCTCCTCCTCTTCCCCCCTTCCTCTTTCTCCCCCTCACCCTCCTCCTCCGCCTCATCCCCCTGTCCGCAGTATCCTTGCATCTCGGGGCCATCGTGGTCTCTCCACTTGGAAGAAAGGTCTACATGCACATTCGAATCGCAGTGCAACGTGGCCAAAGAAATAATACACACGACCACTTGACCTATGATAATCATTTTTTTATCCGACACCACACGGTCCACCGACGCGCAGCCACTGGAAGTTATACGGCAGCTGCGTGCCCCGGCTCAGCCGAAGCCCGCCGAGCAAGATGGAGCGCGGATGTGAAGCACCAAGGGGGAGGAGGGAGCAGCAGAAAAAAGCAGGGAAGAGAAACCTTCCGCTGTGGCGGAACCGCAGCGAAGGGTTCCAGGCTCCACCGCGTCGGGCATCCATGAAATGCGAGATTCGATCCCCCCCATCACCCTCCCCCCCCACGGCACCCCAAACTGGACGCTTCAGGGCGCTTCACAAAGCCTCCCGGAAGCCTCCCAAGATGGCCCCGAACACCAAAACTCGTCCAGTTCCCATGGGGAAACAGTATACACGACTTTTCGGCCTCCGCGGCGTTGAAAACGGCGCCTCCGGCGCGCAAGACCGACCCAAGAGGCCCCCAGGAAAGGCCTCAGACGACCCAGCAGGACCCCAAGACGGCCCCAGAGGCGCCCAAGACAGCCCATGAGAGCTCGAAGACGGCCCTGAGGAGGGCCCGGGGGCGGGAGCCAGGACCGACAATTCGACTTCACCGCCACAAGATGCACCCACGAGCCTTCCAGACGCCCCTACAAGCCCCCAACAGGCCCCAAGAGGCCCCAAAACAGCGCCACGGGAGCCCAGAACACGCCCGACGAGGCTTCACAACTGCTTCCACGAGGCCCCCGACACAAAACAGTGTTCGGAAAGTGGTGGGGAAAAGGGCCCCATGAAGCGGTCCTCGGGAAGAGGTCGGGAAGAGAGCAGCAAAAACTCCCCTGAAGGCCCAGACCCACAACCCAGACACGGTGGCGGGGCAGCCCAGAAGTCATCCGATATTTCACGGCGTAGGAGGCTGCAACGTACCTTGTCCTCCTCCTCCTCCTCCTCCTCCTCCTCCTCCTCCTCCTCCTCCTGTTCCTCCCTCTCCTCTGTTCTCGTCCTGCTCCTCCTTCTCCCCTTCGTCGACCTTCTCGTCCTCCTCCTCCTCATCCTTCTCCTCCTCCTCCCCCCCTCGTTTTTCTCCCCCTCACCCTCCTCCTCCGCCTCATCCTCCTGTCCGCATTATCCTTGCATCTCGGGGCCATCGTAGTCTCCCCAATTGGAAGAAAGGTTTACGTGCACATTAGAGGCACAATGCAACGTAGCCAAAGAAGTAATACGCACACGACTGCTGTGGCGGAACCGCAGCGAAGGGTTCCAGGCTCCACCACGTCGGGCATACATGAAATCCGCCGACCCCACTGTGGGTCTCCAGGTGTGCGAGATTCGATCCCCCCAATCATCCCCCCCCCACGGCACCCCAGAACCGGACGCTTCACAAAGCCTCCCGGAAGCCTCCCAAGATGGCCCCGAACACCAAAACTCGTCCAGTTCCCATGGGGAAACAGTATACACGACTTTTCGGCCTCCGCGGCGTTGAAAACGGCGCCTCCGGCGCGCAAGACCGACCCAAGAAGCCCCCAGGGAAGGCCTCAGACGACCCAGCAGGGCCCCAAGACAGCCCAAGAAGCGCCCAAGACAGCCCATGAGAGTTCGAAGACGGCCCTGAGCAGGGCCCGGGGTCGGGAGCCAGGACCGACAATTCGACTTCACCGCCACAAGATGCACCCACGAGCCTTCCAGACGCCCCTACAAGCCCCCAACAGGCCCCAAGAGGCCCCAAAACAGCGCCACGGGAGCCCAGAACACGCCAGACGAGGCTTCACAACTGCTTCCACGAGGCCCCCGACACAAAACAGTGTTCGGAAAGTGGTGGGGAAAAGGGCCCCATGAAGCGGTCCTCGGGAAGAGGTCGGGATGACAACCGCAAAAACTCCCCTGAAGGCCCAGACCCACAACCCAGACACGGTGGCGGGGCAGCCCGGAAGTCATCCGATATTTCACGGCGTAGGAGGCTGCAACGTACCTTGTCCTCCTCCTCCTCCTCCTCCTCCTCCTCCTCCTCCTCCTCCTGTTTCTCCCTCTCCTCCGTCCTCCTCCTGCTCCTCCTTTTCCCCTTCGTCCTCCTCCTCGTTCTCCTCTTTCTCCTCCTCTTTCTCCTCCTCCTCCTCCTCCTCTTCCCCCCTTCCTCTTTCTCCCCCTCACCCTCCTCCTCCGCCTCATCCCCCTGTCCGCAGTATCCTTGCATCTCGGGGCCATCGTGGTCTCTCCACTTGGAAGAAAGGTCTACATGCACATTCGAATCGCAGTGCAACGTGGCCAAAGAAATAATACACACGACCACTTGACCTATGATAATCATTTTTTTATCCGACACCACACGGTCCACCGACGCGCAGCCACTGGAAGTTATACGGCAGCTGCGTGCCCCGGCTCAGCCGAAGCCCGCCGAGCAAGATGGAGCGCGGATGTGAAGCACCAAGGGGGAGGAGGGAGCAGCAGAAAAAAGCAGGGAAGAGAAACCTTCCGCTGTGGCGGAACCGCAGCGAAGGGTTCCAGGCTCCACCGCGTCGGGCATCCATGAAATGCGAGATTCGATCCCCCCCATCACCCTCCCCCCCCACGGCACCCCAAACTGGACGCTTCAGGGCGCTTCACAAAGCCTCCCGGAAGCCTCCCAAGATGGCCCCGAACACCAAAACTCGTCCAGTTCCCATGGGGAAACAGTATACACGACTTTTCGGCCTCCGCGGCGTTGAAAACGGCGCCTCCGGCGCGCAAGACCGACCCAAGAGGCCCCCAGGAAAGGCCTCAGACGACCCAGCAGGACCCCAAGACGGCCCCAGAGGCGCCCAAGACAGCCCATGAGAGCTCGAAGACGGCCCTGAGGAGGGCCCGGGGGCGGGAGCCAGGACCGACAATTCGACTTCACCGCCACAAGATGCACCCACGAGCCTTCCAGACGCCCCTACAAGCCCCCAACAGGCCCCAAGAGGCCCCAAAACAGCGCCACGGGAGCCCAGAACACGCCCGACGAGGCTTCACAACTGCTTCCACGAGGCCCCCGACACAAAACAGTGTTCGGAAAGTGGTGGGGAAAAGGGCCCCATGAAGCGGTCCTCGGGAAGAGGTCGGGAAGAGAGCAGCAAAAACTCCCCTGAAGGCCCAGACCCACAACCCAGACACGGTGGCGGGGCAGCCCAGAAGTCATCCGATATTTCACGGCGTAGGAGGCTGCAACGTACCTTGTCCTCCTCCTCCTCCTCCTCCTCCTCCTCCTCCTCCTCCTCCTCCTGTTCCTCCCTCTCCTCTGTTCTCGTCCTGCTCCTCCTTCTCCCCTTCGTCGACCTTCTCGTCCTCCTCCTCCTCATCCTTCTCCTCCTCCTCCCCCCCTCGTTTTTCTCCCCCTCACCCTCCTCCTCCGCCTCATCCTCCTGTCCGCATTATCCTTGCATCTCGGGGCCATCGTAGTCTCCCCAATTGGAAGAAAGGTTTACGTGCACATTAGAGGCACAATGCAACGTAGCCAAAGAAGTAATACGCACACGACTGCTGTGGCGGAACCGCAGCGAAGGGTTCCAGGCTCCACCACGTCGGGCATACATGAAATCCGCCGACCCCACTGTGGGTCTCCAGGTGTGCGAGATTCGATCCCCCCAATCATCCCCCCCCCACGGCACCCCAGAACCGGACGCTTCACAAAGCCTCCCGGAAGCCTCCCAAGATGGCCCCGAACACCAAAACTCGTCCAGTTCCCATGGGGAAACAGTATACACGACTTTTCGGCCTCCGCGGCGTTGAAAACGGCGCCTCCGGCGCGCAAGACCGACCCAAGAAGCCCCCAGGGAAGGCCTCAGACGACCCAGCAGGGCCCCAAGACAGCCCAAGAAGCGCCCAAGACAGCCCATGAGAGTTCGAAGACGGCCCTGAGCAGGGCCCGGGGTCGGGAGCCAGGACCGACAATTCGACTTCACCGCCACAAGATGCACCCACGAGCCTTCCAGACGCCCCTACAAGCCCCCAACAGGCCCCAAGAGGCCCCAAAACAGCGCCACGGGAGCCCAGAACACGCCAGACGAGGCTTCACAACTGCTTCCACGAGGCCCCCGACACAAAACAGTGTTCGGAAAGTGGTGGGGAAAAGGGCCCCATGAAGCGGTCCTCGGGAAGAGGTCGGGAAGAGAGCAGCAAAAACTCCGAGAACGCCGACTTCGGCAGTCCCTGTTGGCACGTGTCAGTGCACTGATAGCACTGCCCATTGCGCGCCGTGAAACCACGCCTCGTGCACTCCGCGCACATCACGCGCGTGTGTTTTGTCCTTCGATGCTTGCTGACTTTATTTTATATATTTAAAAGAGGTTCACATCCGAGAGAGCTGCCCCGCACGCCGCGCAAGTCAGTTCACGCTCCCACCGCTTCGTCGCGTCGACAACTCCCTTCGCGGTTACGCCACGCTCGTGACATGTTCCGCAGATCGTTCTTGAAGTCTTCCTCTTCCGGCGGTGGGCCTCCACTTGGCAGAGGCTCAAATGACCAACCTCCCATAAAAAAAAAACACCCCGCGTCCTGGCGCGCAGTACGTCAGCGGTTCCGCTGCCGCCTCTGCTTCCCGTTTGCGACTGTTCGAATCGCGCGTCATCTTCTCGCGCTGCTCCGCGCATTTCCGACAAAACCTCTCCCCCGCTGCGCGGTGTTGTTTTTTTGTAAAATAAAGGTTTTCGACATGTCCGCTGCCTCTTCGAAAAGAGCCAGGCACATGTTGAGAAGGCGTGCTGCTGAAGCGTGGGTCCTACATGAATTGCTAGAAAGTCTCAAACGACAGAGCGTTTCCCAAATAAACCTGACCGGACAAGAACGGGAAGCGCCGCTTTTGTCCACCAAGCGTGTCAGAGAACGTACGGTGGAGAACGTCAACGAAACCCAAAAACGCAACACAACAAATTAAGACACATGCTGTTGGTTTATTGTGATGGCCTGCCGCGCCAGTCTGCCGTACTGGTCTGTCGAGCTAATCTGCCGCCCTGAGCACATGATGGACGTCGCGGGCCGTCTAGGGCTCTTGGGGCTCTCTTGGGTTCTCTGGGGCCCTCTGAGGACCCTTGTGAAAGCCTGTTGGGGGCACGTTGTGGGCCTTTTGGGAAACTGTTGGAGGCTTCTGTGACCCTCTTGGACTGTCTGGGCGCGTCTCGAGGGTCTGTGGGGGCTCTCTCGGGCTGCCTTGGCGTTCTCTCGGGCTGTCTTGGGGATCTCTTGGGCGGTCCCAGGGCCACTTCGGGCGCTCTTGGAGGCCCCTGGGCGCCCCTTGGGGGCCTCTTGGGGGCCTCTTGGGGCGATTTGGGGGTCCCCTGGGAGGCCTTCGGGGGCTCTCTTGAATCTAGGGCTCTCGGGGCTCTTTGGGGGTCTCTGGTGCACTCTGAAGAGCCTGTTGAAGGCCTGTTGGGAACCCGTTTTGAACCTTTTGGGAAACTGTTGCGGGCTTCTGTGGCCCTCTTGGACTCTCTTGGGGCTCCTTGCGGCAGTCCCGGGGCCTCTTCGGGCGCTCTTGGAAGCCTCTGGGCGCCCCTTGGGGGCCTCTTGGGGGTCTCTTGGGGCCTCTGGGCGCCTCTTGGGGGCCTGTTGGGGGTCTCTTGGGGTGCTTTGGGTGTCCTCTAGGGAGCCTTCGGGGGCTCTCTTGGGCCGTTATGGCGCCCTCCAGGAGCGATTCCAAGATGATGTGGTGTCGGAGCCCCCTCTGGAGCCGATGTTTTTCCCCACATGTTTCGTAGGGTTTTGGTTTTCTTCCCTGCCGCGGCGCACCCGCGTCTCGTCACCTCCCCCCTCTCCCCTTCTCCTTCTCGCACCAGCACAACACGGCACAGCACAGCTCACCGCAGCACAGCACAGCACAGCATGCACAGTTCACCGCACAGCAGCACACGGGGTGCGCTGGGGGTGGCGGCCCACCGCGGTCTCTATACGCGCCAATGTCGCAGGGCCTAGCAGGCGTGGCATTTCCTCGACGCCACAGAGGGGTGCGCTGGGGGTGGGGGCCCACCGCGGTCTCTATACGCGCCAATGTCGCAAGGCCTAGCAGGCGTGGCATTTCCTCGACGCCACCGGGGGTGCGCTGGGGGTGGGGGCCCACCGCGGTCTCTATACGCGCCAATGTCGCAGGGCCTAGCAAGCGTGGCATTTCCTCGACGCCACAGGGGGTGCGCTGGGGGTGGGGGCCCACCGCGGTCTCTATACGCGCCAATGTCGCAGGGCCTAGCAGGAGTGGCATTTCCTCGACGCCACAGAGGGGTGCGCTGGGGGTGGGGGCCCACCGCGGTCTCTATATGCGCCAATGTCGCAGGGCCTAGCAGGCGTGGCATTTCCTCGACGCCACAGGGGGTGCGCTGGGGGTGGGGGCCCACCGCGGTCTCTATACGCGCGCGCAATGTCCTCGACACCGGGTCTCTATACGCGCCAATGTCGCAGGGCCTAGCAGGCGTGGCACTTCCTCGACGCCACAGGGGGTGCGCTGGGGGTGGGGGCCCACCGCGGTCTCTATACGCGCCAATGTCGCAGGGCCTAGCAGGCGTGGCACTTCCTCGACGCCACCCGGGGTGCGCTGGGGGTGGGGGCCCACTGCGGTCTCTACACGCGCCAATGTCGCAGGGCCTAGCAGGAGTGGCGTTTCCTCGACGCCACAAGGGGTGCGCTGGGGGTGGGGGCCCAGTGCATTGCAGGCACCCAGGGCGTGGCAGGCGTGGCATTTCCTCGCCGCCACAGGGTGCGCTGGGGGTGGGGGCCCTATGCGCTGCAGGCTCCCAGGGCGTGGCAGGCGTGGCATTTCCTCGACGCCACAAGGGGCGCGCTGGGGGGGTGGGAGCTCGTACCTTGTCAAGAACAGCAAACACCTTGGCTCAAGCCGGCTCGGCGCGCCTGCGCTCTCACGCAGGCGCGCTCCTGTAGTCCTACTTCAGAGCACCGCCCGACCTGCGCGGCAGCCATGCCTCCCAAAATCGCCGTGGACGCGCTGCCACCCCCATGCTTGGCAATGAAGACTGCAATGGCTCAAATGGGCGGCGAGGTTAGCGTGGAGACCTCCCGCAGATGCGCCAACGGAGTGGTGCAGTCCGCTTTGAATGCGTACCGCCGCCAGCTTCACAATTGGCGGCCCGATACGCTCTACGCGAGGTACTCGGAGATGAACGACGGTTGGTGAGTCGAAAGTGAACCTGGTAACTCAAATAACATCCGATTCCGTAGACATCGGATGGCAAATGGCGTCCGGCATCGTACTGACGTGGTTCAGTTAGAGGAATGGACGGATAAGATAGGATAAGATCGATGTATCGGTCTTTCCAGCACATAGCGAACACTCGCGGTGTCCGGGCAAATAGGGCGCGCGTGCCTTGAGCCAAAGGCAACGGCGCGCGGGCTATGCCCCCGATACTGTAACATCTCCCAAAGAGCTACCCTTAAAGTCGGGAGGGGAGGAGACGGAGAGCATAGCCGCGCAGCCGTTAGGCTCTACAAAGGCCGCGCGCACAACTGTTTGCAAGAAAGAAAACAGTGTGTACAGTCTGGCCTAACACCAGACTGTAAGGCGAGTTTCCTCGCAAAGCATTTCACGCGAATACAAGATAGCCCCTCCGAACGATGAAGGGCTATCGGCCCAGCTAGAGGTAAGCCAAACGGGCCATACCTCACCGAGCAAGTAGGTATTAAGGCAGAGAGCCTGAGTTATATAAAGCCGGCTCGCTGCCAGGCGTGAAATGTAAGGCTCGTTTCCGAGCAGCTAGAAGGGCGCCTCTGTAGCAGGCGCCCATGCTGGCAAATTGGACCGCGGGGGCAACAAGGACAGACTAAAATTGATTGGATTTGGGTTTGTTTCTGTCCTCGGGACCCCGAAAGGGAACAAACTGCTTCACGTCATACTTGAATGACTGAGTGCCTGACATCACTTCCAGAAGCAGCTCCCGATCGATGCTTCCCTTTGTATGCCCATCTGCGGTCATATCCCTAGTATCACACCACTGCACGTTATGTACTATACCTATATCCATGAGCTCACGTATCCAACTGATATGTCCAAGCAGAGTCCGCTCTGTCAGTATCTTAAGATCCTTGCTTGATAATGATTTATAAACGGACTCAGCGTCTATGGTAAGAGATACTTTGATGGCTAGGCCTCCAACTTCACGCATATCTCGTCGTTGTCGTGGAGCCAGAGCTCCTGCCTTGAGCCCGTGGAGAGTGATGAGCGTAGGGTAACACTCATCGAGGTTATGCGCCGCTGCGAGTGCCTCCGCAGCATAGCTGGACCTCACCTGCAGCCGGTGTGATTTGCATAGTCCGTCACAGAGGTGGACAACGGACTTGCCTTGAGGCGAGTTTCCTCGCCGTAGTGCATTAGCCCCGCGTATGCCGTAGCCCTTGGTCTCATCATCCTCCTCCCCGGTAAGCTTCCGATACCCCGAATCGCTGTGGATGTCAACTTCATTCGTCGGCTTCATCCGAGGGAAGGTGATGCGTTTCGGGCTGCTGATCAGCTTTCGCGTCGCAGCATTCAGGCGTCTGACTTGCAGATTGGTGAGCTCTTGGATTTTCTGGAGAGAGACCACGTATACCATGAGCCAGGTTTGAGTAATAGGGGCATAGGCGACAGCTCCTCACAAGCTGACGAACATGTCGGTAATGAGTTTCGTGGCTTTGGCGTCGGCCGCCGCTCCTGTAAGTTCTGGGTGTGTGATAGGACGTAGTTGTTTGATATACTCGTCCTGATCCATGATCGCATCCCCCTGATCATTCTTAGTGTAGCGAACGGCGCAGTTCGTACATGTGTGTTTGTTGAGCTTGCATTTGCCAAACACCTTTTCGACACGCTGTACATAGTCGTCTATATTTTTCTCTAGGGCAGTCATGTTAATATCATCGACATGTTTTGCCGTTAGCAGATCTTGGCCGAATTCAAATTCAGGGTCATAACTGGTCGGCGCAAGGCCCATAGCTCGTGTGGTCGTACGAAGTTTGAGAGAGAACGCTCTTGGAGCGTCCTTTGTACCCGTTCCTGGTTTGAGGCATCTGTGGCAGTGTCGGCTTTCGTCATAGGATGAGAAGCCGGGTAGTGTACGAAGTACCTGGGCACTTCCCGGTGGAAGAGTGAAGCAGACCATGCGAGTTTCCTCGCCGGTGGCATGGGCAAGTTCCTCATAGGTCTAACCCTTGAGGAACGCCTTGTCGATATCCATGGATGCTAAGATCCACTCTGGATGGCATGCCGCCTCACTTGCCAGGAGTCGTTGGGATTGCCTTCGGGCGGTTCCCGAGAATGTTTCTACGTCGAAAGCCTCAGTATCCATAAATCCACGAAGGACAAGTCTGAGACGAATGGTTTTAACGTTCTCGGTACCCACCTTTACACATTTCCACTTGTATACATACATGGATGTCATGATGTTGGAAGCTTTGGATAAATCATACATCTCAAAGCAACGGTTGTCAATCCAGATTTTGAGTTCAGTATACAAAGCTTCACTAACCTCCTTTGGATGTGCTGCTATGTCGGCTTTGGTCAATAGATCGTCTTCTTTAACGACCACAGCACGTTTAGCAGCAGAGGATACATATACTCTCATCGTCGCGACCACATCGGTGTCG